TTTGGTCACTTTTCTGATGCGTCCCACGAGGGGGGGAATAAAAATCAACCCACACACAGACATCTAACCTCCCCGAAAACGGAGGATTTAGAACAAAAAAGGGAGAAAGTGGATGCCTTGGCTATCTCTTTTCACGAAAGGCTCGACCCCGCGGCCCCACATCTGCAGCCGGTCCCTCAGGTCTGATCAGAGAAGACAGGATGTGACCTCATCCGCGATCTCGCGACCTGAGGAAGCGCTTCAAACGAAACGAGAGTTCATGGAGGGAAGGCATGTACGAAAGATGAGCTCGCCGGGCGACCTTTTATGGAGCCGATGCTCCGATTCAGATCTGTTTTATGACAAACATTTGTCAAGGAGATCCATCAGTGCTGTCAGTGTTTATTCCGCACAGCTGTAAAGGAGCAGTCAGTCAAGTTCATTCGGACTCCGTCATCGTTTTGGTGCGTTTGCAGCTCTGTTTCCAGCAGTCTGCTGAAGGCCTGGCCGGCCTTTATGTATTTGCTTAAGAAAGGTGATTTCCCTGTTTCTCTGGTTGGAAAAAGTGTGGGAGAATGTTTCCTAGAGTTGTCACGATACTAAAATGTTCAACTAGATACCGATACTCAGGAAAATATTCGATACTCTATACCGTTTTCGATACCACAAGGATATAAAAAGACCCCGAAATGTAACTGAAATTTGACAAGTTAGTGTCTTACGTTTCAAAGTTACCTATTACTGATGTTATGGTGGCCCACATTAATGACCTTAACCCTGACCCTAAACCCTTCATAATTGTGAGAAATAAATATGTTTTGGTTAAAGCTCTTTGGACTTATTGTACAAACATATTTATCATACAATATTTTAGACTAATATTATGTATAGAGTTTAATTCAGTGTTTGCTAGATTCATTTCACTATTTTTAAATGAATGTCTATATTGCCATGAAGCAATTAGGATTTTCTTGCCTGGGATCTTCCTATTGGTGACCTAATCAAAATGGCCGACTTGGATGTGGGGGAGTTGGATATCCATCTTTGGCTTCCTGCAGTCTGTAGCCAGACGGACTGGATTAGCCATTAGCCGCAGCTAGCAATTCAAGGCTAACGTCATGTTAATGATCATAAACAATGTAAATAAATAAATCAGAGAGATTAATTAATAATCTTATTAGTCCTGATGACGTCAGATGGTTTACAATTTACGCACTGAACAATTTCCCTGTTTCTTCTTTATCACCTGGTTTCATTTTCTCCTCTTTTATTGTTGATATTTGCCTCCTCATTGGTCAAACGTGTGTGCAGCTGCAGCTGAAACTGTGTCACTGCCTCCCGAAGAACTAATTTCCCTCCTCTAATGGCTCCCATTCATCTTATCAGACCTGGTTTAAATGACTTCCTTGTCATTGTTTTTATTATTTTAACACGAGGCATCGTAACGACGACAGCAATAATAATATTAATTAGAGAAATAACACCGTTTTTTTTACATGACGTGTAATGTTTAGGTGGGTGTTTTTCTTTTTCTTGTTGGTCTGATTTTCCTTTGAGCTGCTGTGTGGTTGTGTGTGTGTTTGTGAGTCGAATAACTAAGACAAAGAGGGAGCAGCATGGGAGCAGACGGAGGTATCTGAGCTGTTGGGGAAGCAGGAAGAGGAGAGGAGGGTAATGATGGAGAAACAGACGCTGAGAGGGAAGACAAAGGGGGAGAGCAGCGCTGCCCGTCAGTGTCTGGTCCAGGGCCAGGAGCAGGGATCGGTCCG